AGATCTGATAGAGAAACAGAAAAAGAAGTCAAGTTTCCCAACCTTATGCTTAAATGCCACATTGCATTTGTGATTCATATATAGTGGTATTCCTAAGGAAGTGTTTTGGAAGTGTTAGATGTATTTTGATTCTCCAAATGGAGTCTAATTAGAGAAAAACGCCTTAGCATCATATGATAGGCCATCTTCAAATATGCAAGCTGCAATGTCTGAGGCCAAGTGATGGATCCTGTGATGCATTTCTGGAGCTCTCCAATTTCCAGTGAATATGTTTGGGCACATGTCTTAAGTGGTGGCATTATCTGAGTCTCTCTGTGTCAGCTGGTTTGTCAGATATGGAAATGTCTAATGAATGTAATTATATATAGTACGTAAAAAGAGAAGGATTTTATAGCATTCCCTGGCAAAAAAATCTTCACCTTGCTGAAGTCATTGGCAGGTTTACCATTTTTGTCATAATTTTACCTATTACTTTAGTTGTGTTACTTCCAGTTTAGACTGATGGAAAGAAAGTCAGGGTAAGGTCTATTTATTTATTTTTCTAAATATTTCCCCAACATTTGTTATGGTTAGATGATGACAGTCTGCTAAATGTTGTACAAGATCGAAAGGCAGCAGTACTTGTCCTTAAGAGCTCACGCATTCAAGTTCTCATCATGTTTACCCTTACTCATGTAAGAAATCTTTAGTTTCAGAAAGAATTTCCTTATGGAAGATGAGAGTGCACTCATACAAAGGGAGTTCTCCCACTAAGAGCTGGACTCTGGTAGTCTACAATTAGTCTGTGATACAGTTTAAGTACCCCTTTTTAGAATCTGGAACTGTCTTATTCAAATCATATTGAGCAGAATTGGTGCTAGCACTTCCGATTTTAATGGCAAGCACAACATTGGATATGCATTAATGGGAGGCGCGTTTTTGTTTCGAAATTACTATCTTCTTCTAAAAAGAGATAGGAAGAGAATGAAAGAGAGGGAGGGAACAGCAGAGAATGAGAGAACCTGATGCCAAGACTGGAGTATAAATCTGTGCTATTAATGGCTTTGGTGTACCAGTTTCATAGGAATTATTTTGATAATCAAGTATTGTAAGAATCTGAAACAACCTCATTCCAGAGGCAGTGTTGTCAGATTTCTATCTCTGGCATTTTTGGTGATCTTAGTGTAAACAGATATGATGTTAGTTAAAAGGTAAGTGCAGACTTAACATGATAGAGTGAAACTGAAGTTATTTCCCCTTGCTGTTTTATATTATAGTTTTTAGTATTTTAATAACTGTTCAGATGTAGAATATGTGTGCTGGTCATAGCCATCGGTTCTAGGATGTACATTGGTTTCAGTGAGATCCAAGTATGCTCTGACTCTTGGGTATTGCTAAAGTACTGTCAATTTTGTGAAAAAGAGACAGAAGACAAGGCATTCATTGTCAACTTTATTTTCTTCTTTTCTCTTTCTCTGTTTTTCTTTCTCTTTCAGTCTCTTTCTTTTTTCTGTCTTTTCTTATTCTAGCAGCTAAAGAAAAAAAATTGAAAACATTGATCTTAAGTGACTTAGAAACAAAAGCAATAAAAAGAACATTTAATTAAAAAATATTAATTTCTTCTTATCTTAAAGCTGGTCCCAGTGATTTTAGGGGCCCAGTCTGAAAGGCTGGAGGAGCTTGGCAGCTGTGCAACGCTTAAAGATGAGCATAACTGGGGATAGCTTTTGACACCGATGTTGGAAGCCCAGTTGACTTTGAAGTCATTCATTGAGATTTTCTAAATGCTGCTGGTATGCTTGGTTCTCTGAAGTGAGAAATTTAAAAATCTTATTTCGCTGTTTGTTTATTTCATGCTTACTGCAATATCAGTAGAGATACCTGGGCCAATTGATTGAACTTTCTGGTTCTCATGAACTATGCCAGATTTGATATACTTGAATTATAAATGTTGAAGCAGCATAAAATAAGGGGGAAAGTTTCCAATCCAAGTAAAATAATTTACCTTAAGAAATAAAAATAATGTTCTTGTGGGCTTGAAACTTTAAAAAACTTTATTAAAAAGTAGCTCTGAAGATGCCACTGTAATAGTCATATTTTACTGTCATTGTTCATACCAGGAATGTGTTTTTTCAGGTGGTGTGCTTCTTATTGTATCAGACTTGATGGATGGATGTTCAACATATAACGTTGTTGGCAATAATCCCAGTTGAGACTGGTTTAACTGGCGTAATGCACACTGACTCACAGTATGATGACTACATCATAATCATGTCTGAGTGCCATAAGCAAGAATATTAAAAATCAAATATTTATAGCTGTTTTCCTCCTGAAAGTTTTGCTTGGTGTTTGGATCAGTTTGTATAGTTGCTTAAGAAATTAAGAGTATTGAGGTTATTGGTGAAGTAAGCAAAGCTTGCTGATATGAACACGTATGCTATGCTGTAGAGTTCAAGAGCCATAAAAGGAGCATCAAGAATCAGGAAAATCTGTATGGGAGGAGAAGCGGTGAGGTTTTATCTTCAGGGTATTTCTGATGACTTCAGCCGAGGCTTTCGGTGAGCTAGTGCTACTATCAGCCACAAACCTCATTATACAACATTGTTGGCGCCCATTGGAGGTGAGGTCTGAAGATGAATTAATATACAAGCTAGATGTTATTCATTCTCTAGCAGAGGTCACTGGTAAGAGGATACTGCATTACTGCGCTATTGACAACATACATTTAATTCGGAAATAAAATGGATGTGTAGCTGTTAGGTGGCTTTTCCTTCGTGTGTGTCGTTGTGAGGCCACCTCCCTCACGCACGGCTTGTTGACTTTTCCGGGTAGAGGATAATCACTAGGTCATTTGTTCTGGAGGAGTACTGTCATTTAACGTGATTGTAATTAGGCAAGAACTAGGTTGACTCTGAGCTACCAAATTGCCCTAGTGTCTATTTTTTAACTTGGAGTGAGCACTTCTAGGCACCCTCTGGATTATCTCACATAGCTCTTTAGGGTTTAAATAGCAACCACGTCTAGTTAAAGCAAATAATGGAAAAAGTTGGTGTTCTGTCCACTCTTGTCACTGACAGTTACCAAGATCCAGGAAACAGGTATTTGCATTTGCTTTTATTCTGTGGTTTTGGCTTAACAGGGCAGCAAGGCTGAGATGGCCTTTTTATTAAACATACAGACTTTAGGATGCTTTTAGCGTTTTGCATCAGAGTAATTTGAGACTTCTCATCCTGAACGTGGGGTTTCTGTTGTTGTTTTAGTTTTGTTTTCTCACTCTGTTGTTTACCGGCTAGCACAGGGGATGTGGCATCATGAGTCCTAATCCTAATTCTCCTGCTCACCGCTCCTAGAGTATTGAATAAGTTGCTTAAAAGTTTTGTACTTCAATTTGTTTTCAAAGCATCTTACGGTGGTAACATGAGTTAAATGATTTAAGCTGTCAATATATTCTGAGATCTGGTAAAAAAATGATCTATACTTTAATAATGACAAAGCAAAAGGTTTACCAATTGGTTGTTTTGATTTCTAGGGTTAAAGATGTATTTTAGTCTGTTTGAATTTATAAACTCTAGGCTATTCACTGCTAACCTTGTTTGTTCACTTTATTGATACTGGATCGTCAGTGACTGCAAACAGGTGGAAATGTTATATGAACTAGGCTACGAGACTTGAAACTGTTTATCTATTTGGGTAGCTGCATAGAAAGTCTTTTTTAAATGATCCTTTCATTGAGATGGCAAGTAAGAAAAATATATTTATGAGTCTGAAAATGCTCTTTTCGTCAGACACGTTCAAACAGGCCATGGGTGGTATGTTCATGTAGCTGTAAGGTAGCTCTTTAGGCACTGCTGGCTGTGCTCTGCCCTCACATATCTTTGTGCAGCCTCCTTGGGCTCGTGCGGTGCCATGTGTGTAGTGGAGGGCAGCATGTGGCTCTGTATTTATTTTGCTTTGGTGCTTTGGACATTGGAGAGAGGAGGGAGTGTTAAGGTGACAGAATGAGCGACCTTACGAGAAAGCAGAACACTTGCCAAATTAATAATAAAGAAATTACATTAAAAATGTCCCATGATCCCTAGCTTTAATAGTTTCACAGAGCAGACGGGTGTTATTTT